CTTTCTACATGCTACAGTGAGAGCAAGTGCTGCACTACTGATTATCTGTCTATTCTTAGTGGATTGTGTTCCGCTCTATTAGCGGTGGACAGCATATGTAACTAGTCAGAGCAGCTCTGGTCCTCGTGGCATTGAGTACAGGCATGCAGGGGAGTCAAAGTTGTTGGACCTCTTTGGTTGTCCGGACTAGAGGCTTTGTTTATGCACAAATGGCTTCTTGCTTGCATGTCAAAATTTCTTTCTAGTGGGGAGATGAGGAGAATGGTAGATTGTGTGCGCACAAATGTATGTAGGGCAGGCTTGCTTCTGCTTTTTTTTCTTCAGTCCTTTCAAATGGCATGCTCATCTGTGCAGGTGAGAGTAATCCTAGGTTTTTCACTAGGATTCACTGTGGTTACACAAAATGCTTTCTGTTATTACCTCATTCACCTAGTACCTGTGTCTAAGGATGATTTAAGTGTGTGGAGTTGCTGGGATCATTAAACGTTAGCATAGCTGGAACATAATGGAACCCTGAATTCCAATAATGTGAAAGTGAGATATGTTAAATACTTTGAGTATGACCTCTTTGCCTGCAAGACTAACGTTAGAGATGCATCTGACTTCGTGCTGAAATGTAGTGTATATGTCAAGTATTTTAAGTGTCTCCATTGATATAAAACTTGGTAGCAAAATCTAGTATTTTCATGCAGCTGGTAACTTTCATTCTTAACTGTCCATCTTTGCTAATTGATTTTAATAACTTGCAAAAAAGTTGTATTGTAGTCATCAATTCTCTATCTCCTTTAGCAAAACTGCAGTAAATTCTAAGTAGCCTTGTGCTTTTAAACTTGATTTTAGGTTTGCTTAAGCAAAAACAGATTGCTAGTGTGCAAATATTGAGGTACTCGGTCTCTATCTGTTTCAGAGGATTTGACATTGGGAATCACTTCTGTGAATGGATGTATGATTACACGTATGAGAAGTACCCATTCTTCAAAGCTAGCGCTCTTAAATATCCTTCAAAGAAGCAACAGGTAGGCACATAAGACATAATTAATAAATGCCAGTGTCTACAGTCTTCAAATATTAACTCTCTTTTCCAGTTCTGTTTTGGACTTAGCTCTGTTCCAAGACCTTTCCTCCATGACTGCCTCAAATGTAAAACTTTCTGTAATCCTGACTACCTTTGCTTTGAAAATCATAGAAACTTCATAATGGCTACTCAGGGTAGAGTATTTACTATGTACTGTGTTGCTATCCGCCACACAAACTCCAGTTGTTGTGGACTGCAGCTCTGAAATTAGTTGGCAGTAGCAAAACATTGGCTGTTGTCCTAATATTATGACTTTTCTTCAATCAGACTTCCAAGCAATTTAGTAGAACCACCATTAATTTTAGAGCTAACTCCAGCACTGCTGATGTTTAGAAAAATTAAATGTCAACTTGTTAAAAGGCCTGCCTAGCTCTGAAAGGAGTGAATACATCTTGAGACAAAGAGTTGTAACTCTGTTCACTTGCCTTCCAGCTTCATTTTATCTCCAGTTACCTGTCTGCATTCCATGATGGCTTTGAAAATCTGAGCAATGAAGAGAAGTCCAAACTAGAAGAAGTAGTGTTGATAGAAGTTAACAGGTATCTTGTCTTTCACAGCTGTATCTTGACACTTCCACTGTGATACCTGTATTATACCTCAGTGGGTGGAGAAAATTCAGCCAAGAGAGACTCTAAGCCATTTGTATGTGGTAAAGAAAAATCTGTCCGGTATAACTTTTAGACATGTGGAATACACTATTAGTGGAGTAAACAAAATACTACTCCATGGGGAAGCTAATGGAATTATTTTTATAGTGTTACACTTGAAGAAAAAGTGTGGGTGTCCCCAAACTAGGGAATGCTGTTCTACCAGGATACTGAAATAAGGTGTTGTGACTTAGCTGGGTATTTCAATAAACATAGCTTTGTAATTTCAGGTTTGCCCTTGCATCACACTTCTTCTGGGGTCTGTGGTCTATTATACAAGCAAAGATCTCATCCATTGAGTTTGGTTACCTGGTAAGTTACTTAATCATAGCTTCATGTAACTAAAAATGTATACTCCATTAAGTAACCTGCAGTACATTATCAGAAAGTAAGTGAAATGGCCTCTTGCAGTAACTGATATCTTCTAAGTGGAGTAACGTTTTTTAAGCCCAGTGCGTTACTAGTTTGCACTTTTTCCTTGTGAGCGTAAAGAACATCTAAGATCGTAAAAACTTCAGAAATTCTCCTTGTTGTTACATAGAGAGACTATAGCCTTGTCAGGCCTTGCAGTGGGATGATGCCACACAGTGAAGTATTCTGCAGTAAGAGATCCCATGCAAGAGGGAAGCTGGCGTGCAGTAAAGGTGAATTTGGAAACGGAGCAAAGCGCACATGTAAGAGCGTGTTGATATTGTGTGCAACGCTATCAATGCCAGGTAGCTTGTACATGAGAAATGAATCAGTCCAACTCTTGAGACATGTTTGGTGTACTGTAAAGTGATACAACTTGGTGTACGCTAAACCTCCTGCTGGAGGTGTGGCAGAAGCCATTGTTTTTAGTGAAATCCTGACCTTTTTAGTTCCTTTTTTTTCTGACATGCTGGCAGCAGGTAATAGCGTTAGAGTTGAAATGAGACTGGAGGAAGTTTCAAGAGGGCAGAACTCCTCTAGAGAGATTATCCTCCCCAAATAGAGCTAATTAATGCATCGAAGTGATGGATTAGGAAGGTAACACAGCTAATGCTTTCATTAGGCTTCCTCATCCCAAATAATAAAACTCAGCTGTTTACTATATTCAGTACTGAATGTCCCTTATTTCTGCAGGAATATGCGTTATCCAGATTTGATGCATACTTTGATCAGAAGAGGAAGCTGAAGGTGTGAATGCAGGAGGAGTGGCCTGTCGGTTACTGTACGAAGAGGGCAGCTGGACAGAACTTACACTGTGCTTAGGCTACTGTATCTCTTAACGAAGGTATCACTGAATTCCAGTTCCTTGGAACGCAGGTGTACAGTACTGAAGACTGTATAAAACCGACTTGTTTACAGTTTCGTAAATACTTGGAATGAGATTGGGAGGCAAAAGTAAAATACATCAGTGCAATATCTTTAAATCTTCTTGATCTAGGAGGTATTTTATATTTTGAGAGAAGCTTACAATTAAGTGTCAATACCACATGCATCAGAGCAAACAGTGTTACTGTGAGTACATTTTCGGGGGGGGGTGTTGGCATTATGGTTTATGTTGTAAGCGGAACAGTTGTAAAAGATTTGTTGTAGACACTGCCTCTTAATGAGAAGGAAAAGTGAAGGAGACAACTGTTAAACTGTGAAGTAGGCTTAAAATTTTACTGTGAGATTAGGTTCGACATGCCCCATGAACACTATCTTCAAAGCTGCTGAGCTGTTACACCACTTCAACCATAAAGCAACGGAAGGCGTTGAAGCGGCATGCTTTAACGTGTTCCCTAAATAGACCTGAATGTTTCTCTTAAGCTGGTGTGCCTGTGAAGTATGAATGAACTTTGAACTGGACATTCTGAAGGAGTTTGTCTCAAACTGTTCATTCCATGTCCTTCAAGAAGATGCTTTAGCCCAGCCTGGTTGTCTCTCAAAACGCTGTGTCCTGCACAGGGGGTTCTGTGGGCTGGCAGCACTGGGAAGAGTGCCTTGAACTGCTCTAGCAACTCCCCAGATAACTGGATTGGGATTGACAATTCTGGTAATTGGAGCCCATCTCTCTTCTTGTGTTGCCACAGTATATGGCTGTAAGAAATTAGTAGAGCCAAAGACTGTGGAGAACACTTCAGGAAATTGCTGTTCTGTCCATCCAATGCTTACCTGGCTCCGGAGGTGCTTTTCTTGCACCTCCGATTTCCATCATGTTCCAGCAATCCAGTAAAGCGGAGCGTCTTGTGGGGAACAATAACGTGTATATTGAAACTTGAGTATAATCTGTGTACATGTCATCTAAAGATTTCTTTAGATTTTTGGGAGCTTGTTTATTTTGAGTGTTATTTGTTTGTGCTTTCTAACACACTGTATTATAAATAATAAACTTCTAAGTCTACCCTTTTTCACTTGTATAGCAAATGCTGTTTCAAGTAGCTGAAAAATGCGCAGCACTTCATGTACTGTATAGCATAACTTGTAAAGCTGTCATTTTATTCTCTAGGGTAGAGAATGATTTTTCCATACACTCAACTATTAATACTTTATAATAAATATAAAGCACTTAAGAATATCAACTATGATGTTTTTAAGCCTCTGTTATATCTGCAGGGTCAATAGATGCTGTTTCTGGCTTTAATCTATGCTGGAAGTACTTTCTTGCTTACCTTCAAAGGCGGGCTAATGTCAGCTTTAGGCTCAGTGCTGTGGGATACACCTTTGCTTAAATGTGTCTTTATTAGCACTCAGTTACACCACAAATACTAGAAAAGGTGAGGAAGAGAGGTGGTTCAAGCAAGTGATGAAGGGTAGACTGAAGATGAGTTTATGAAGTCTCTAGTTTTAGAGGTGGGAAAAGGTTCAGGTCTAAGCACTCTATGGTATTGGTCCTGTTAACTACCCTAAAACCAAAGGTGACAGCAGCATGTGTGAGTTTCGCTGGCACACCAGCTGAAGTGTTTGTAGTACGGATAGCCAGGTAACTTCTCTAGGCTACTGAAGGCTTCATGGAGCAGGTGCTACTGCACATGGAAAACCCCATGGGAGTGGCAATGAAACTGTTGGAAACACAGTTTAAAAGGGTGCTTTGCAGCTAGCTGAGAAGGACTGATGGGTGTCTTAATGCTGTAGGAAGCCTTGTTTCATAGGCCAAGGGTAAGTTCAAGTTCTCAGGAAGCCCGTGGAGAATGTCCTGTGACTCATCCACTGTGTGTCATGCTTCTCAGAACCAAAAAATGGAAGGGGGCTCAGTCCCAGTAGTGCTAACTACTGAACGGTTGCATCAGAGGGGAAGCCCTTTCCTAGAGCAGAGATGGCTCGTGTTAAACTAACTCTGAGAAGAAACTGAGCTATGAAGTCCCCTGGCGAGGCTGCCTCAGCTAAGTCCCAGAACTGCAGTTGTAACCCAGCATTTCACTGTGGCTTCTGAGGGTGAGGGGAAGGAAAGGTCCCGAAGGAAAGACAGAGATGCTCCATCCTGTGCCTTTTGGAATGTAGGTGAGCTTCAAGGAGCGTGGGATTCCCCCAGGTGTGGTGTGGTAGGCTTAGCGGGGACACAGGCATGACGAAGCCAATGAGCAGAGTTACCTGCCAGAGTGGGAAGGAGCTGAGATTACCAATATTGTGACTGGTTCCTCTGAGAACCGTGGTGGTTTTCCACAGCTAGGCCTCTTCACTTGAGGGTCAGAAACTACCTTGGAAAATCCCTAACGGGGAAAAATTCACCATGGCTGGTTGGTGTTCCCCTCTGAAAGGGCTTTGAGGTGCGAAGGGTTCTGAAAAGCAGTTGCCTGAGAAGGTTACTTTGCAGATCAACTCCCTCCCTTTGTGCATCTCAAATATCAATAAGCGCTTCTGCTTTTTCCTACCTATTAACTGGGCTGAGGTCGCACTGCAGCTTAGCCGGAACGAGCTGGGTTTCACTCCTTCAGAGGGATGTCATTACTTACCCTAGCTCATTATGGCCACGGAAACCCCTGGGGGCCACTGGGGCTTGCAGCCACGTTGGCCAGGGACCAAATGTGTCCGTCCTGCAGTTCCCTTGCTAGACATGGCGATGGGAAGGAAAGAGCCCAGCTCAATTCTGCAAGAGTCTGCGGAACTGGGAACTAAAGATGCATCCTCTGGCTTTGAATGGAGGAGACAGCAAGTACATTCATTCCCAGAATGAAGAAAATCGGCTGTCCTATGCGAGTGCCAGCACCCCTGAGCTGTGTGTCCTGCCGTGCAGCTGCGGTGCTGCGGGTTCCTGCTGTCCAGCTGGTCAGTGATGCTGTGGTCCGTCAGTGACTGAACCTGCTGACGCCTCAGGACACCGGTTTGCCTTCCCTGCAGCTAGTCATCTCGGCTTCTTGGGGTTTGTAGCATCACAAGTCCAGCAGCCAGAAGTCCACAGATGCTGCTGCTTTTTCTTCTCCCAGTGGGATTGAGCTGGTGCAGGGGGAGCCCCGCGTTGTTCCAGCGCCGTACAGAAAAGCGGGCAGGTGGAAGCAGCGCGCTGCTGTGCCTCGCAAAGGCTTTCAGAGCTCAAACCCTGCCTTGAAAGATCCTTGAGGCAGCCTTGGGCCAGCTCCCCCAGCACGCAGGCGGGATTGTCCTGATGCCAGCCTGGGTCCGTGTGAAGCAGCAAGTGGAGCATTTCACCGGGGATGAATAAATAGCCGTCATGGTTCTGGACTGAAATAAAATACAGCAGGCGCTTATAAGGCCTTGGCAGGGAGCAAAAAGGAGCTACTGTACTTGGTACCCAGGCAACAAAGCTGCTCGCTAGCAAGTAGGCTACTTGGTTTTTCCTAATGCAAAATTAACTTGTTACGGCTTTCACTTTCAAAGTACACAGAGCTCCTACTGACTTGGCATTGAGTGCGACTGTAGCATGACGTGCAAACAGCTCTGTGTGTGTGTGTGTATGGTAGGTATTGACCAGTCTCACGAGCCCGGGATCAGCCAACGAAGCCTGAATGCAGGCCGGTCTGCCTTCCATCAACACGCCGAACCCTGCCTCAGGAGAAAGCATCCCGGCCAGGAGTTGGGCTGAGCCTTGGAGTGGTGTGGCACTGAAGTGCTTGTCTGAGGAACGGCGCCAGCAAAGGCGGGAGGGTAAGCAGAGGCGATGGGACGTGTTACAGGTCACGGGGGGTCCCTGGCAGAGCCACAACAGCACACAGCAGTTGAGTCCCAGCCCAGTGTGCCGTGTGCTGGACTAAATGTCTTCAAAAAGCCTTGCAAATGCTGCCAGTCCTAGGGAATGTTACTTTTATTGTTCCCTTCTTACGGAAATAAAATATGACTCTGGAATCAGCCATCCTTCCTAGTTTTCAAAGCCCACAACTTTTGAGGTGCTGTAAAGTCAGCTGCTGTCTGAAGGGGCCCAGTGGCGGATTTTAAATGGCTCGCGGCAGAGCTCGGGAGCTCTGGCATCCTCTGAGGGCATCCATGAGAAGCTCCCAGTTCCCACCAAGTTGGGAAAATGGCAGAGCCAAGAGGTACAGCCTTGAACAGGGTCGAAATATTACCAGTTGCCTGCGCCCTGCCTTGGAGACCGAGATCTTCCCACCTAGCAAGACACTTAACCTATGGTTAGGCAGAGAAAAAGCACTGCCTGCCATCACCCCTAACATCAGTGACCTCTGCTCTGGCGTTGGCCATCTGGAAACTCTCCGAGTTTCCTCTGCACGGGGGTTGTTCTCCCTCCCTGCCGTTGCACTTCCTCCCACAGCCCGCGAGGAAGCTGCCGTGTTGTGTTGGTCTTGACTGTGTATACAGAAGGCAAGGGCATTGCAGCTTCTCTTTTAAAATGCCGTCTCTCCCGTGCTGGATAATCCCACCCTGCCCGCGTTCTCGCTTCGGGCTGCGTCTCACTGAATCCGGGCACGCCGGAAGTCGGCAGAGACGGGCCGTCCGAGCCTCCTGCAGGTGTAAAGAAAGAGAGCAAGGAATGGAAGGAAAGGAGGAAGGAAGCCTGCTATAATTACGCAATGCAAAGACTATTAAATAATCCAATAATTTCCTCAGGAAGAGATTATAGAGGATTGTGTGTAATGTCTCGGGTCTGAAGGGCTTAAAAATTCACCTTAGACTGAAAGTCTAATTGGAAGGCTACAGCTGTAAAGGAAAAATGGTTATTTCATAAATCCCTCAGGAGAGTTGTTTGGAAAAGTACTGGTTTCTCTTTAAGAATAAAATAAACCAAAGCATTCATTTACATTGAATTATGTTTTGGATCAGGACTCAGATCCAGGTTTTTGAAATTCATTTTGAGGTCTTTTCATGCCAGTTTGAAAGTGTGAACAACCTAAAGTAAAATGAGTAAACTGAAAGTTTTCCATAACATCCTCATTTGTTTTTCTTTCTGACCTCTCCCAACTAGTTTTGATTTTTTATATATTTTTTGCTAGGTTTATCTATAAATATGCAGGCTTTTATAAAATATTTACATAAATAGGTTTTTGTACACCTATAGAAGTGCCAAGTAACTGCCAGGTAACGATGTTTCCTGAGGAGCAGGTGGATCGCATGGTTATGGTCCTTTCTGCTATTCAATTTAACTAAAAGAAGACAAAATAAGAAATACTGAGTCATACCAAGCACTGGTTTCCATGGCTGCATGCTCCAACTGCATTATATATGAAACCACCATTTCGTAGAATCATAGAATGTTTGGGGTTGGAAGGGACCCCTAGAGGTCACCCAGCCCAACCCCCCTGCAGGGAGCAGGGACACCGCTAACCA